GATTTCGCTGATTGTAATATAATTTTAGCTAAGCCACATTCTGACGATATAAAAATATTAGTCAAAATTTTCAAGGTGAAGTTTTCGGATCGCTCACTCACTTCTCAATGTGATTGATCTGGGAACTTTTCATTTTACTTTTTGTAACTAAATGCATATCTTCTTCAACTTTCTGGAATTAATTATTGATTTGAGAACTTTATAATGATGAGAATTTTATATAATGTAATTGGTTTTTTTTTGGTGATCAATTAACGGAGCGACATATTCATATTGTGAATAAGCTCATTAATAAAGAATTAAAAAAAGATGGCACAATTTAGGGGATATTGTGGATATTTTCTTTTTGTTAGGTGTTAACAAAAAATTTAAACTTAAACTGTAACACAGTGACTTGAACACGATAATGGTATTAGCTGTAAAGCTATAATAAGTAATTATTTAACATAAAAATAAATTCTTTTAATTGACATAATTTATAGCTTTAGTATCTACTTGACAATGTTTAAGATGTTTCCTTTATATTAAAAACCGTGAGATCATAACATAAGTCATAATTCATGCGACACATATCACTATTAATGATAACAAAAGTTGGAATCGTTCTGAAAGTAGAACTAAAAGTAAATTAAAAATGGCTACCAAAAACAATAAAAATTAAAATAAATCTTTAAAAAGGGTCTATAATATCATGGAATGAGATTTTTTTCCACTAATTCCATGAGATCTGTTTTTTTTCTCTCTGATATTCCGGGTTTAGCATCATATGCTTTTGATATGACAACATCTATCTCCCTTCGTCTCTTTATGACTACCGTTTTCTTGTACTCCTCTTGAAGTACGTCCTTTTGAAGTAGTTATCCCGAGGTTCATTTTTCAAGAGCTTTATTATCTTCATGTCACCAGTCTTAGCGAGCTGGTTTTCATCATCTCTCTGTAGCATTACACCCATTCGTTTACATACTTTCTTCCAGTCGTAGATGTCGTCATAACATAATTCAATTACTCGAAAAATGTTCACTCTTCTTTCTGCCTGCCTTGATAGCACCAATGAAGGCATCAGTAGTGTGTGTACATTGGGCCACTTCTTAACTACCTTTTAACCCGTTTTGCAATTTGTGAATAAGCTGAGTCCCCTTCGTCTTGGGTATGTCCTTTAATAAACAACTTGTGGTTAATAAACCTGAATTGATATAAACTATTTTCTCCATTATATATATATATATATATATATATATATATATATATATATATATATATATATAGTAACTTAGTTCTTTTAGGTGTCTTTTGGAAAAATGAATATTCACTAGAGCAATTGAAAGCTGTTGGTAGTGCCTTATAAACTAAGTGAACCACGTTCACGAAGACAGGGCTCGGGAAAGGTTAAGAACATAAAACGTCCCTATTCCACTTGTATCAGGTTAACATTATTAATTTATTATTAATTATTCCGTTCCGCTTGGAAAAGTCTCACAATGTACGTCTTTTTGTATATATACGTAGTCTAACTATGTATATATACAAAAATACCCGATACAAAGGTTTCGCTCTAACACATTTATTTTTAAAAAATGTGGGGGAGGCACACGGCTCCACACACACCGTGCGTGGTGAACGCCAACCATTTTGATACACTCCGCCCAAAGGGAACGCTAATTCGGGAACTGGACCGTAATCCACACTAAAATAACTGGCGAACCAATAAAAGAGGGCTTGGCCGCTTAGTAGTGCGTAAGCACAAATATCGACCGAAGTCGCACACTTCAATGCGTGTAAACGCCATACAGAATACGAACGAATCTAGCCACAATGAATGTACGTCACACGATTTAGGCAAATAGGCACACTGGCCGTAAACCCTTCGTGAGCGCCACCACCAGCCACACCGCCGCTCCTGTAGACGTGATGTAAGTGTATGGCATCACCACTAATTGTATGATAAGCACGGCTACTAGCTGCAGAGCGTGTCATGAGTCTACCGCTCACCTCAAGGGAATGGGGTCCCACGTTGTGCGGCTTTCGGCCGCAGCCTTGAGAGTCTCCTCAGATCCTCCCGTCAGCTATTACCCGCATGAGGTCGACACATATGCTCCACCAACCAATACAACGGCAGATATAGCCAAAAGGCAGTTATAAGATAAGAGTAATAATTCACCATCAGAAGGAGTTTGTGTCACTGACGTTGAGTAAATGCATTTTCGATCATGTTTGCCTCAACCACATACAAGTTTCCTTCAATCATTCAAAGGTGGGAAAGTTACAGAGATATATTATTATGTCGTTATATAAAACATCGTGGAGGGCAGACAGTCTGCAGCCCAAGCTTAGGGTAAAGCTACTTAGGTGTAAGTCAAACTAAGACGCAGAGAGCGCCATTGAGAATAGCGTCCCACATAACAACCATTACAGAGACGCAATGCTGCAGAACGCAACAAGCATCAATACGACTATCGTCGGGCTTACACCATCCCAAGGTATATTATATACATACATTTCAGCAGACATCACCACCCGCTTATCTCCATCGACCAAAACCACAAAAATGCGTTGAATCAGGCGCAGTACACACGCAGATCCACCACAAGTCACAATATTGCAAGTAGCAGTAAGCATCAATGCCACTATCATACTGATAGCGCTCCCTCACAACACACCCACGTGATCCCTATCAACTTTGGTAACAAAATTTGTATTGTTGATAACTAAAAAATAACACCAACATATCATAGTAGCGTGTTACTTAGACGCTAGAAAACAAAACTCCACGTATCATAGTGCTAATGCACTAAGACATGAAGTTGAGTATGCTTGTTACATTTAAAAATGCTACCAAACACATTTATCCCAATCCGAAAGATAGACGACGCATCACTATGAACTACGACGCCGCCCACAAACGGTATGGGTGTGCGATGGCCACGGAAAAGCCGTATTGCTACAACAAACCCGCTTACCTCTGGCACTAAGATATTGTTAACTAAAAACTGCACCAACATATCATAGTAGCACGCCACTAAGGCGCCAGTGGACAAATCTCCACATATAACTCCACGAGTACGCTTGTTACACTTAAAAGTGATACCAAACACACTCATCCTAATCCGAAAGATAGACGACGCATCGCCATGTGCTACGACACTGCCCACAAACGGTATGGGTGTGCGATGTCCACGGGAAAGCCTTATTGCTACAACAAATACGCTTACCACCGACACTAAGATGGTTTGTCTAGGATACATCGGTTAGCAAATCCAAGTTTACCTCGGTCTCAGTTGATCTTAAAGCAGCATACACGCCACTATAATAATCCCTTTCAAGTCCCATTTCTATTAATATAATGCTTTTTCTTATTTGAGACCTTCCACATATTTGCTTTATTTCATAGACCTTACTATTATATGTTTTTAATATATGGGGCTTCAACTCACGACTGTACTATTGCAATGCTAATTCATCATAAAGACCTTCTATAGTATTGCTTTTGTATCATAGACCTTACTATTATATGTCTTTAATATATGGGACTTCAACCCACAACTCTAGTATTTTAATGCTTATGCTTCATAGAGACCTTCTATAGTATTGCTTTTGTATCATAGACCTTACTATTATATTATGTCTTTAATATATGTGACTTCAACCCACAACTCTAGTATTGTAAACGCTTATACTTCATAGAGACCTTCTACAGTAATGCTTTTTTGTCATGGACCTTACTATTATACGTCTTTAATACATAGGGCTTCAACCCACAACTGTACTATTGTAATGCTAATTCATCATAGAGACCTTCTATAGTATTGCTTTTGTATCATAGACCTTATTATTATATGTCTTTAATATATGGGACTTCAACCCATAACTCTAGTATCATAATGCATATGCATCAAGGAGACCTTCCATAAAATGATTTAGTTTAATTTAGCTTACTATCATAAGTCCCTAATATAGAATAGTCATTGTGCTACAGTGTTTCAAGCAGTCGTGCACCCGACCATCCCATATATACGTGTATGTACGACCTTGGGTATGCGTTTCCAGCAGCTTCTCCACACAAGCCATCTATACATGAACACCCTCTTTAACTAAGGAAAATTTGCTTATAAACACGAGCTCCCTCCATGTCTTATTTTTAATTATCATATAAATGTTATTTATCTTTATTTTTATAAATTTTTCGACTTTCATTTATATTCATATATTATAGATTAATCATATAATAAATATTATAAGTTTTTAATAAATTTATTTATTGTGAAAGGCAATATTTTGCCTTAAATTTATTATATGTACTTATGACATATTTATGTCTGAAATGTATTTATTTTTAAATTTACTCGTATGCTTATTAATGTAATTGTATTGTTTAATATATATCTTTTAAGATAATTTTGACGCTCCTTTATATAGAATTTAACCCTCTGTAGGCCAAGATATCCAATTTTAAAACTAAGTGGTGAAAAATGTTAATTGAAACAAATAAATATACACGTGTTCCGGGAAAAATCTTTTTATTTTTATTCATTTGAGAAAATCAAATTTAAAGGGAGTGTGAAATAAATGTCACACTGCATCATAAAGGTAACTTAACTTAGGTGAAATTGTTTGAAACAATTGTTATGTTTATTGTAGCACAAAGCAACGCCACACTTCTCGCATATTGTTTGCGAGACACCAGAGCATTTAGGAAATTTGCAGCGAATTCTCTTTTCTGTCCAAACAGGCCGGTGTCCTGTCTGATCCTGCCTGATTGCCACTGGAGGAACATGTTGTGCTGGACCTTTGTGTCGTTTTGATTGAAGTTCGTTTTCGATATATCGGCGGTTCTTTATCTTCGATGGTACACTAAGCTTACATAAAGTTGTAGCAACTTGAAGCCGAAAATCAGCCGAGTTCAAATGTTTTTCCTGCAATCCCTTAGCCTTATGTATTCTTTTGTAAAGAAGCCATGCGTTAGCCATACTCAAGTCCAATAAATGATAAAACATTCTAACCTGTCACCTTTTGCTACGAAGCCGTATTTTGTAGCATCCCATGATGCTATCAATAAGATCTACGCCACCCATGTGGCGATTATATTCTCCAACAATATTTGGACGATCAATTGTTATGTACTGCTTGGTCTTCTTGTCATACCGCCTCACCTGTGCTTTTGGCATTTCTCCGACAAAACTGGATGCTAAATTTACTACTTTGTTATCTTTCCAGGCTACGGTTGCTACATCCACACCGTTGACATCAGCAACATACTCAACGGAATAGCCTCTGTCTTTTTTGGACATTTCGTTGTCTGTAGGTAACTTGCAATCTGGAATCCTGTTTCGGCGTATTGTACCAAGACTCAGTATACCGTTTTGTGACAAGTATTAAAAAGCAGTGGCAAGCTTGTAAAGTAATTGTCAAAATATAATCTGTAATTTTGGTTGCGAGGTATTTCTCATGATAGACGCACGATAACATTTGAGGAAGCACCAAGATCAGGTTCGTTGGGCAGTACCACATTTTCTGAGCCAGTTTCGGGTTCGATTTTATACGCAAATCCAGATACTCCACTGAGAACGTAAATCTAATAACCCCATTTTATGAGGCTTTTTCGGGTTATATCTTTTTAAGTTATTTCTAGCTTTCGTAGAGCATATTTGCTCATCGACGCAAAGGTATTGTTCTAAAGGGATTTCAGAAAAAGACTGGTTTAATTTTTGTACAACTGGTCTAAGTTTGAACAGTCTGTCGAATTCCGGATGTTCGCGAGGCAAGTTTTGCAAATTGTCATTAAAATGTATAAATTGTCGAATCTTTTCAAACATCTTTACCGGCATTATTTCTTGAATCATAGAAGTTCCAATGGTGCTATTCCTGATGGGTAACTATACACTATGCCAATAAATTGCTGGATGTCTGTTGTGGAAACCCGAAAATTATTATTGGGATCCTTTTGCACAATATATAAATTAGTTTGAGTTGCTATAAAATCAATTAAATCTTTAGAAAACAAGGACAAGAAAATCTGGATCGGCGTATCAAGCTCTAGAACATTTGTTGGTAAGTTTTCGTTTCCAAGAAAACGTAACTGATGCTCATTCAAAAGCAGGCTTTTCATTTTCCATCGCAGGTTGAGTTTTAGTGGCTTTCTAGGTTGTACCACAGATTGGGTTTGTTGCGATCTAGTTGGCACAGCAGAAGTAGATGGAGACGGATCAGGTTGATTGTCTTCTAAACTATGAATGATCTCTTCTAGGTTCACTTCATCATCTTCATTTTCATCGCCAGAAAACTGCTCTTGTTCCATCTCATCCTCAGCTCGATAATCAGCATCTGCAACACTGTCATCGTCATCTTCCATACCATCTTCACTGTCTTCGTTTATTTCATTCAATAATTTGGCTATTTCGTCAGCCGGAAAAGGTCGAAAAGTCATTCTAAAAAGAAAGCAAATGAACCGTGTAATGAGCCGCTTCATAAAAAAAATTACCCACGTTAGGCAATGTGACATTTCTGGTACAAACAAGCCAGACAGTCAAACTCAACGAAGGCATTCAAATACATAAAAACCCACAATACACCACAAAGTATATGTACTCACCTTGTATATTTTCGAAATCTACACAGTATATATCGCGTTTTTCTATTTTTTTACAGATTTTTAATCATTTGTAAAAAGCAAGCAGGTAGTTTAGAACGCGCGGTCGACAAACAAGTGCTGTCACGCGGCACTAACGGCATCTACATTATTTGTGTTAAACTAAGTCGATACATCGGTTTGTTACAGTCATGTTACAGTGTCGCGAAATGGACTCGAAATAATATTTTAATTTTAAATGACAAATAATCGGTTTGTGACAGAAATGTCACACGGCGCTACAGAGGGTTAATTATTAAGTGTAATGATGGGCCGTCAAAATAGTTACATGGTAATCATGAAATTGTTTTTGTTGGCCTTTCAAATTATTCGAATAAAATATCACATCATTGTCTGTGCTAGTGTAATTCTTCGCTTCTAAGTACCTATAAATGCAAGTCGCCATTTCGTTGACGTCTTTTTTTACGTTAGATTCGTCCAATACACATCTATATAACACAATATTTACGTGCAGATGAAAAATTGTAAAGTGGAGTACGTTTAGCTTACAGAAGTAATAAAAAATGGAGATTTCTCATTTAGCGCCCTCATGCACTCCTTGTAAATTGTACACATCCACATTAACAACAACATTAACTTGTTAGCTTTGTCTTTTTCTTTTACGGCATGTAATAGGTCTTTTTATTTCTGATGTTTTTCATAACTTTATATAAGAGTCTCTCTTTATTTATCAATACTATTATTAAACGCTTCGTGAGTTTCACACAGACCTTTATTCGGTATAAAGAATGATATATTGAAGTCATTTGTAAAAATGCGGTAAAACATTATATAATTTCCATAAGCAGCGTTATTTTTCACACATCTTTACATAATCCTTGTGAAAGTCAGCCACACTCTTGCTTCCGTCAATATGATGTCTCTTTTAGTGGGATCGTATACAATGAGATTAAATCTTTGGTATGGACTCAATAAATTTTATGCCTTTTTTAGTTTTTTCATCAACTTTCGGTTATTTTCTATGGCATCTTTTATTGACTTTTATGTCGGTTATGGCAGCAGTCTTATTTTTCTTCTTTGTAGCTGTATCTATTGATCGACTATGTGTTTTGGAAAAAGAGCTTGCACACTCTAATTTTTGTACCAGAAACACTAAACTCTAATCTCTAACATAACGATATTTTGACATCACATCTTCTACAGAATTCTCAATAAAATACCATTGTTTTTGAGTACTTCCCAACTTCCAATAACCTTCATTGAGTTGTAGCCGCTGACTTTCAGTAATTTAGGTTTCAAATTTGAACTTACATAAATTTTTACAGGGTTCCCTCAAATGACGTTTCGATATAGTTTTTCTTGTTTTGTTTGACTGGTATTATTTTCCATTATTTCACAATCTTTTTGCGATATTTTGTTCCTGCTTTCTTCACTTCTCAGTCTCTTTCTTCCTCTTTTTGTTGGAGTTAGAGTATTTGTAGGTGCTGGTTATATCGTTATTTTAGTTGAAATTGGTATTACTTACACTATAAGGGGAGCTATGATTTCCGAAGTTGCAGTTGATGGCGCATCTATTATTACGTTATTATCTGATATAATAAAAACGGATGAAATTACCGAAGGAGAATCTGATGTCTTTTTTGAACTGTATTCGTTGGCTCTTCTGGCGGCTAGTATCTTTCTTCATTACAATTACTATCAATAAGTACAGTACGTTGTGGTATAATGCTATAATTTGGGGCTTTAACCAGTCTGGAAGAAACAGTTATTTAATTAATCCGGGAGCACTTTCACATCTGGTCTTTTTCGAAACAACTGTTCAGAGGACTGAGACAGCTATACAACATAAAAATTTTGTCGCTTTCTTTGGTTGAATGGCGTAAAAATAAACGTGTTTTTGCAGCAAATAGATCGCGTTGTGGTGATTTTTTTACACAACAATCACAACTTTTTAGAGATAAAACATTGTTGTAGCAAATGAGCGATACAGAGTTTTCATAAGGAACAGGTTTTTGTTAGATTTTTAAATAAAAAAGTATATGCATAGTTATGCTGTTTGTGTTTGTCTATGTATGTTTGTAAAGTGTTTATGACTGAATGAATTGAGTCATAAGACGCTTCGTAATTGAAAGGATTTGAGAGGAGAAAAATGCACCAAGCTTCGTCAGTACGGACACTGAATGACGAAATTCATGTTCTTGATGTTTCTCAAACATGCATTTATATTTGAATATTCTAATTATGTTAATAAATTAAGATATTTTATGTAAATATATATACACCAATAAATCACGTACAAATTTTTTTGTTGATTATTTTTCAAAAAGAACGTTAATTTCAAAATTATTGACACCTGATACATATGAATTAAATTGCACGTCTTCTTGAACGATCATTATATCTACGAAGAACTGGTAACTTGTAATTTATATCCGTTGACGGAAATGACCCAGTTGAGTGATGAAGCAGTTTAAGTATACAATTTTCGCAGATACTTTTAGAGAACCGGAGACCCTTTTTACTGGAAATGAGGCATTCCATCTCAGTCCTCACGGGTGACAACGCATCTGCATTTTGATTTGTAATGGAAGATAGATGTAGATGTCTATGGGCCGCAGCAACCACTTACCATCAGGTGGACTGTGTGCTCGTTTGTCACCCTATCCTATAAAAAAAAAAGATAATGTTTTGATTCATGATATTTTAAGTATACGTCGTTAAAGTATTTTTGTGAAGATAAATTGTTAATTAAGATATTTTGACAACATCGTAGAGTATTAAAATTAATTTACTTAATAATATTTTCCTATTATATTCCTCTAAATGAGCTCACTTGGTGATAAGAATCTATTTTGCCTAGGAGTCTATTAGGGTAATGTAACAACCTTACCTTCAACTCTTACCTACAAATTTCTGCCAAAAAATAATAGCGCTCGCACGGCTGTGTTCCGGTCTTACGTATAGTTAGTAGTATAGTAGGGTAGTGAGTCTTAAAGGATGTGAATTTCATAATATTATCCCTCAGAGATAACAAGGTATCAGAAGCCTTTCTTTTTTAAAATTGGCTTTCGGTTTCCATGAATTTAAGTAGCCAATTTTTTTATGTGCTAGTAACAGTGGTAGAGCCACGCTTCAGCCTTTGCTGTTGCACGCATGGGCCGGCTCTAACCGGGGTGGTACCATAACCTCACAGAAGACCAGCGTGAAGTAGAGGCTTTGTTTCTGCGTTTTGTCTGATGAATGCAGGTGACCGGAGGCCCAATCTCTCCCCTCCCCCATCAACATGGTAGTGGAATTAAATTCAAGACTACCCCCAGAGGTTATCAGTACCCCTGCAGAATCCCTCGCTGAGTATCCACGACCAAGCTACTCTACTCCTGAAAATGGGTGCTCAGTCTGCCATGCGGATTCTGGGGGAGGGAGAGGGGCAAAATTCCGCTCGAGACCAAACCTGCTCGGGGCAAACAGAGCAATAAATCGGATCGGAGGACATTTGTTTTCGACGCCTCGGCAGCCTTGAAGGACGGACCTGTCCATCTTATGGCTGCGCGTAGACAACGACAATCATCCCTGCGTCTACGGGTTCTTCTATAGGTCCCATAGCGGTAATGCTGAAACAGATCGACTCATCGACCACCTCCAGATGGCTACAGACTCTATACTACAACAGATCCCATCCGCAGAGATCGTGATAATTGGATATTTTAACGCCCACCACGCTGAATGGCTTGATTTTCGTTTAACCTATCAAGCGGGTAGATCTGTTTACGACTTTGCTTTGGGGTCTGACACAACTGGTTACCTCGCCTACGTGGATCCCCGATGTGGAAAATCATATACCTTCCGTGTTGGACCTTCTGCTGACCTCTAATCTGGACGGATATCAATTCTCCGTCGATACCCCTCTTGGCCCCTCGGACCATTGGCTGATCCGGAGTACGGTGCCACTCACGCACTCATTGCAATTGCGTATTGTAGGTTGCCGCTGTGTTTGGCATTATAGGTCGGCGGAGTGAGACGGGATGCGATATTTTTTTAATCCTATCCTTGACGGGTTTGCTTCTTGCCGGATGATCCCAGCGTTGTTGCTGATTCTTTCGCTGATGTGGTGCTACAGGGAATGGAAATTTTTATTCCATCATCGGAACCCAGCCTTGGATTGGTCGCTCCTGCAAAATTGCACTACGTCGTAAGCAGGAGTGCTATTAGGCCTGGGCTCATGCATCGACGTCTCGGGATGCAAACACCAACGCCCTTAAAAGAAGTACAGTTCTATCTCCAGGACCTTCAAAAGTATCATTGTCAAGGCAAAGTCAGAGCATATTGGAAGAATTGGCGAAAAAATAGTTCGTCTTCTTTTGGGAACATATGCATTCTGGTATCTCGCGAAGGCTGTCCAAGGGAATTTCTGTCAGCCATCTCTCCCATTTCCGCACAAGGAGGACGACTCACTGGCCCATGCCGCAAAGGTTGAAGCCGATCTGCTGGGCTCTCTCTTTGCGTCCAACTCGACTCTTGATGACGGGTGGAACACATCACCGATCATACCGCGGAGTGAGTGCTCCATGCAGGATATCCTGTTTACCCAACGCTCGGTGCGCAAAGCACTCCTCTCCCTGGACGTCAACAAGTCGAATGGGCCGGATGACGTCCCTCCTATTGTAAGGAAGAAGTGTGCTCCGGATTTGGCACCGGTTTTAACGCCTCTATTCCGGTACTCCTACTCCTTCGGAGTAGTTCCGAAATCATGCAAGACAGCCCTCGTGCACCCGATCCCTAAAAAAGGTAACCGCTCTAATCCATCCAACCATAGGTCTATCGTCATCACCTCCTTGTTC